TACCAGATTCTCAACCCAGCGATTACGAGCCTTTTCTGTCATGCACTGTCACATGCAGGTGCCGAGGGACCGTTAAGCAACATGAAAGCCACTTTCGTTCATGCACCGACTAGGCCTTTGTCAGTTTATGGTAAGCTCCAGCCTCACCTTTTCAGTTCTTTATTACCACAACAGCCGACAGGTTTAAGCCATTTCAAACGTGACATTATGTGTAGTCTTCTGAACGTGCGTTTCAGTGATTGTAACAGTCTATGTGTCAAATGCATGCCTCGTACATTGGGCAGCTTTTTGTCTGGGTGCATGATTTTAACGTGAAATATCAGCAGCTGAGCTGACTCATGTAAAGTGAGTGTCGGAGGGGAGTTCATTACAGCCTGGCAACCATAGACAAGCAGCTTCACAGCCGGGCTAATGCGACAAGCTAACCGTGCTATATAGTCGTACACTCACAGGACAGTTGGGTATTTTACTTGGGGCTCTATTAATGTGATAATTCAGCCTAGGCACACAACATAAGACGTAAAGTTAGTGAATAATTTCAGTGTAGTGGATTATTTTAGCTTGCTTGCGTATACTGGTCTGTTAGCTATGCTAATATGCTAACGCCTGTAAGTTCCGCTTCACTTGCAGACGTGAACACTGAAAGACATTTCTTTAGAATATCTGTAACAAATATGCTGCAGGTCTCGAATAAAGATTTAAGCAGTCAGATATTTCAGGAGAATGTATTTAAGTAACGCTGGTTATGCGACCAATGTGATGCGATGGGTTAGCCTGCTGAATGAATAAGCAAACCGCAAGATTGTCAAAACCAACACTGTTAATCATTGCGACGCAAACAGCTGGGTGGAAAAATCACCCACATTTTCAGACAATTAAAGTGCTAGTTGGCAAGATATGATAATGTCTAGAGCAGAGGAATGGATTAAATTAACCTCATTTGCTGCTGTAACAATGCATTAGCTGACAACCTGTAACTATAAATTGGATTCTATAATATCATTTGCTAGTCTTATTCATTCTGATAATCTGGTAGTTACGATTGGAATATACAGCCAGTTTCCTTGTAATCCTCCTGTAGTGGCGAGTGTAATTAAAATGCTGTCTATACTGTATACTGGCCATGTACTACCTCGCTCTTATAACTAATATTTTTGCTTCTGGCAACGTACTTTAGTATAATAGGATTCATTACATGTTATCATTGGCTTATGGAATGGTTTGAACAAGGTTAAGGCACTAAAAGCTGAAATGGTGTATTTTATACTTTATTTATCAGGCGTAAACCATGCATTGCATTAGATTTACACGTCTGTTTTATTTGTTATACTTTTGCACAGGTTTATAAAATTCAACAGACAATAGTTTAAGAAGATGAAAATAATACCCACTCAAGTCTAAATTTGGCCTACTTATGAAAGTTAGCTCAGCTGACTAGAAAAATAAGTTAATAATCAGTGGAATGACTCAAGACCTACATTTAAACGTGTGTTCGAGCTGAGGAGCCAAAGGCTGTCATTTTGCTGTACGGCTTCCAGGCTTTGATGGATAGATTGGAAAGCTGACAAGTATGTGTCATCATCACAGCTTCATCTGCACTTGATCTTTCTAGATGGGTCAGTTCTGAAGTTCATTTCTCAGAAT